AGGCAGTTTGGAAAGAGAGACAGAAGGAGAGAGAGGGAGGCAAGTAGGGAGGCTCATTGGATGGTAGAAATGTAATGAACTTATATTTCTAATAGGTTCTTTGAGGTGTCTAAAACACCTCAGAAAATCAAATGAGAATGCAAAGTGAAAACCAACATATAACTTTAAAATTATTCCAATACAAAATAAATTCCTACACCCATTAATTAAAAACAAGATTATGTAATGGAATATAGATAATACACAATAACTTGGAGAATCATGGCCTTAGCACAGTAAGAAACACTACCTCATACTGGGGATGCCCTGCACAGATAAGAAGCAGTTCCAAAGTTCGTAGATCTCCCAGACCTTGGCCGGGAGTACAAACAATTTTTTCAAGAAAAGTTTCACATAGTTCAGTAAAAATACGGCAGTAATTCAGAACTCTGTAGAAAACAGAAGAATGAGAACACTAAGTCAGAAATCTGGATATCATATTCCTAGGCACCATAAATCAAATAACTAAAACATTCAGTGTTAAGTGATATGTAGTGATTACTGACCATTATACATCACACTCTATGTAGCGGACCCCTTTACTTGGATTATCTACTTCCACACAAATAAGTAAAATGACTTGCAAGTTATCTTAAATCCTTAATTTCCAAAATATTTACAGGGACTGGGAATGTGGCTTAGCGGTGGAGTGCTTGCCTTGCATGCATGAAGCCCTGGGTTCCATTCCTCAGTATCACATACACAGAAAAGGCCAGAAGTGGCACTCTGGCTCACGTGGAAGAGTGTTAGCCTTGAGCAAAAAGAAGCTCAGAGGCAGTGTCCCGGTCCTAAGTTCAAGCACCAGGACTAGCAAAAAAACAAAAAATTCACATAAAAAATTTCTACCAAGTCATACTTGGTATTTTAAAGTTTATCCTTAATTCTTACAGCCTTACCTTTGTAACTGAAAAACATTAATACTTTCCAACACTGATAATTCTACTTCTCTTGCATCCATCTTGCCACTCTTGATTCAGGTAAGACTATTAGAGCTATAGGATGAAGTGTTTATTAGAGTCACTGAGAATCACAAATGATGGATGAATAATAATAACTCACTTGTCTAAATCCTCACGTGCCACAGCCATATGGTAAGCAGTCTCCAATGTCAGGACTCCCTGAAAAAGTTGCATGGCTAACGGTAAGTTAGTCTCCACATTCTCTATGGCATAAAGAGCTGAGCACACACAGTCTGAAGCAGCTTCATGTAAATTAGATGAGGTCTTGTCCTGTTGCTGGAAGGTAAAAGGAATACAAAAGCAAGAAATATGGCCTTGTAATCCAAGTAGTATAAAATCAGTCATAGGCTTCTTCTGAAAATGTACATTGTATGTGTAACAGCCTAGTAGTAGGAGAATCTCAATCGGAGTCTGGTCCTATGCCAAAACATGAGGCCCTACCTGAAAAACTAAACTATAAAAAGCAAAAGAACACTTAGGTGGGTACAGTTCTTGCTCTACCAGGTTCAACCCCAGTATCAAATAAATAATTGAAATTTATTTTATCAAAAATAAAAATACAGCTGGGCACTAGTGGCTCACAGCTATAATCCTAGCTGCTCAGGAGGCTGAGATCTGAGGATCATGGTTGGAAGATAGCTTGGGTAGGAAGGTCCATGAGGCTCTTATCTCCAATTAACCATCAGAAAACTGAAAATGGAGCTGTGGCACAAAGTGGTAGAGTGCTAGTCTTGAGCAAAGCAACTTAGTAACAGTGCCTAGGTGCTGAGTTCAAGCTCCATGACTGACAAAAAAATAAAAAATATAAAACAAAAATAAAAAACACTATTTTATACATTTTTTTTTTTGTTTGTGGGGATTGAACTCTGGGCCTGAGCGCTATTCCTCAGCTCTTCAGTTAAAGACTAGTGCTCTACCACTTGAGCCACAGGGCTAACTTCCAGTTTTCTGGTGGTTAATTGGAGATGAGTGTCTCACGGATATTTCTTCCTTGGGCTAGCTTTGAACCACGATCCTCAGATCTCAGCCTCATGAGTAGCTAGGATTACAGGCATGAGCCACCAGTACCCCGCCATTTTGTACTTTTATAACAAAGAAAGAGATAAACAGCTTTTAGTTGGATCTTAAAATTTAAATTATTTGTAAGAACGATCTTATTGCATTTTCTAAACTCTGAGTACTAAAACTAATATCCTTATTTTAGTACTTGATGACAAGAAAATGATACTACTGCTTTTGTAAAATACACCCTCTAGTAACAGTGTAGAAATATGAAAACACTATGTTGTAGATTATTAACATTCTAATACACCATTACTTACCAAAACCTCAAAAAGGAGCGCTAGTAACTTATTATTAGCCATAAAGTTACTGTCCAAAACTCCCAAATTAAACCAACTTCCCAAACAGCGAAAGACTTTTATAAGCATTTTCTCATCTGTTCCAGTTTTTTCTACACAGGTCATCTGAATAGAATAAAAAAACAGAAGAATTATTTAACATTAAACATAATACTTACACCATTGTTATCATCACCATGCAAGTGTTATAATGTACCACTGCTGTTATTTCTCAATAGAGCAATAGAGGCACAGGATAGATATAATCACCCCATAGTAGAAAGATTTTAGAAATAACTTACTAGGTTTCATTCTTTTCTTTTTTTAAAAATATCTGAGACTGGAGCTGGAACTTGAAACCTGCTGTTTTTGCTCACTGGCTAGTGTTCTATCAACTGAGCCACAACTCCAACTCTACCCCTCACCCCGATTAGTTTTATTTCTCACTTTTGCAATATATCCTTTTAAAACTACAATTGTTTTTAAAGTGGTAATTATTCATCTACATACCAATAAATTAGCTTGGTATTCCACTGTGTATTTTCATATAATTGTTATCTCTTATGTTCTAACAAGTGTCATAACATAGAAAGTGACACTACGGGGCTGGGAATGTGGCTTAGGGGTAGAGTGCTTGCCTTGTATGCATGAAGCCCTGGGTTGATTCCTCAGCACCACATAAACAGAAAATCCAGAAGTGGTGCTGTGGCTCAACTAGTACTATCCTTGAGCACAGAGAGGCTCAAGGACAGTGCCCAGGCCCAGGACTAGCAAAAAAAAAAAAAAAAAGTGACACTATTATAAATAAGCTAGCACTAATAATAACAAACAAACAAAAAAAGCCAGGCACCAGTAGCTCACATCTGTAATACTAGCTACACAGGAGGCTGAGATTTGAGGATTGCAGTTTGAAGCCAGCCCAGACAGAAAAGTCTCTATGAGACTCTTATCTCCAATTAACCACTCAAAAACCAGAAGTAGTACTGCAGTTCAAGTGGTAGAGTGCTAGCCTAGAACACAAAGAGGGACAGTGCCCTGGCCCTGAGTTCAAGCTCCACAACTAACTGATCTTAAACAAAACAAAAACAGAAGTGGAGCTCTGGCTCAAAGTGGTAGAGCACTAACCTTGAGCAAAAGAGCTCTGGAACAGTGCCTAGTCCCTGGGTTCAAGCTCACTGTCCACTGTCTTCCTGTGCAGATGGTTTTTGTGTTATGTTTTTACCCAAGTAAAGTATAATTTCTAGATAAAAATGTCTCAAGACAGCTTTGCAGGCAATGTGTTAGGAACATAATTGCCATGGAGTTAAGAAGGCACATGTAGGGGAAGGGTAGAATCCAAGTTCATCAGATTACATCTAAAGGTTGACACTAAGTAAGCCCTATGTTTGCATTATCATGCAACAATGATTGCATGGTAGTTAACTGACTTGATGAAAATAAGAAAGCCAGTCTAAAGAATAAGACTGTCTGATATTCATGTTTACATTGTAGATATAAACTATACAGGGAGAAGCTGACTCAATGCTTCCTCATTTTTTTTTCTTCTTTTTTGGGTCAGTCATGGGGCTTTAACTCTGGGCCTGAGCACTGTCCCTTAGCTGTTCAGCTCAAGGCAAGTGCTCTACCACTTGAGCCACAGTGCCACTTCTGGTTTTCTAATGGTTAAGTGGAGATAAAAATCTCATGGACTTTCCTGCCCAGGTTTGCTTTGAGCCGTAATCCTCATATCTCAGTCTCCTGAGTAGCTAGGATTACAGGCGTGAGCCACCAGTGCTGGGCTTCAATGCTTCCTTTATCATAGAATCTACATTGAAGATGACTGCTTTTTATTACTATCCTCCAAGAAATACTAGATGAAGTGAGGTTTAACATGCAGAACACTGCTAAAAATATTAAGGCTTGAAATGCTACCCCCCAAAAAATGATTTTTAAAGTCATCCTTTATTTTAATAATGCAGAAAAAGGATAGAAAAACAGTACATACATTAAAGTATATAAAGGTACAAATATTTGTATGTGTGTGTATCTGTGTGTATACACATGCGCCTGGCTGGGCACAAATGTATTTAAAAGATTATTAGGGTGGACCTTCTGAATATATTTAAAAGACTTTAGGACTGGGCACCAGTCCTGTAATACTGGCTTCTCAGGAGGCTGAGATCTGAGGATCACATTCCAAAGCCAGCCCAGGCAGGAAAAGCCCAATACTCTTCTCTCCAATCAAACATCAAAAAGCTGTGTTGCAAGTAGAGTGCCAGCCTTGAGCAAAAAAGTCCAGAGCCAGTGTCCAAGCCCTGAGTTCAAGTACTAGAATCACATCAACAACAACAAAAAGACATTCATTTTTGTTATTTGTTTATTTAGCAGTTTTGTTTACTGTAAGTTTTTCTGAGGCTCTTTGTTCCCCCGGTAATCAAGACAAAAATATTTAGAGGTGTTTGAAGTTGCCTGAGATCACTAAAATGTCCAATTTAGATACTCTATGCCTCTGATCATATAAAATATTTAATGAAGTGAATTCCAGGAAATGGGGGGCGGGGAAGATCACAACAGTATTATTTTGTAGTAACAAATTAATATACCTGAAAAGAATTCCCATAGTAGGATCCTTCTGAGGTGCAGCTCTTGGAGCTTGAACTCAGGATATATTACTTTTGCTTGGCTTTTAACACTCACTACTTGAGCCACAACTCCACTTCTGCCTTTTTTTTCTGGTTAACTGGAGATAAGACTCCCCAAGCCTCTTTCTCAGATCTCAGCTCCTAAGTACTAGGATTATAATCTATAAGCATGAATCATCTGTAGGGCCTTTTAAAAATAAGGTCCAAGGCTAAAAAAATAAAAGTTTGTAGTAAATTTTCATTAAAATAAACTATAGCCTCTGAGAGACTTATCTTTTAATGCTGATACATACTGATAACAGTCTTTTGCTTCAATCTTTGAAGCCCTGTGGTAAGCTTAACCGTTTGGTTTCTATGATTCCTGAATGGCATTTCAACATTAATACTACAACATGGTATTTATACATAGGATTTAGTTTTCTTTCTAACTTCAAATTTAAATACAGAACGCTGAAAAAAATGTACAGTTAAAATTAGCTGTTTTGAAAAGAAATTAATAATAATTAAATAAAAATACATCATAAAGCTTCTAAGAGGTATCATCAGTTCATTTCTGAGTACTTAAAAATCTGCCACTTTGAAGTGAGGCCTCAAAAACTGCCTCACATGTAAATGTAACAGTCCAGAAAAGGCTACCAATAGACAAAGAAAATTAGCAGGGATAAATAAAAATCGAAATTATGTATTAACTAAATAGGGAATGGAGAAAGAAAAACATTAGTGGCAGGCCCAGGTCCACTATAAAAGCAAGAGGAATATCAAAAAGTTCAATATAGCTGAGTGCCAGTAGTTCTCACTTGTAAATCCTATCTACTTGGGAGACTGAGATATAAGGATCACAGTTCAAAGCCAGCCATGGCAGCAAAGTCTGTGAGACTCTTATCTCCCAATTAACCCCAAAAAGCCAGAAGTGAAGCTGTGGGTCAAGTGGTAGAACCCTAGCCTTGAACACAAAAGTTCTGATACAGCACCCAGGCACAGAGTTCAAGCCCCAGGACTGGCAAAAAATAATAATAATAATAATAATAAAGGTCAATACAGTAAACCTTAGCATCCATGATTATATGGCTCCAAGGAGATTGTAGGAAGAAAAACCAGTGTATGCTCAGAATGCAGAATTCAGTACTACTGTGATTCATTTTCCTATAAGACCATACAACTTCCACTAAAGACATACATCTTTCAACAAATCTAAAGTTTTTACTTTATCATTTAAATTAACTACACTAACTTTTTCCTTTCATTTAGGGTACCATTTGCTTTCTAGGAAACATGTTTTCACCAAATTAATGGCAGGAAAGCAGTCATTCGATCCTACAATTTAAACATAACTGATGATAATAGGACTGAGAGCTTCTCCAAACCAATTACGCTGTATAGCAAGAATTAAAATTCTTTTTGAGGAAAGAAATGTACATAACACCCAACATGGAATAAATAGTTGTAATGTCAAAGCTTATAGAATTCACAAACTATAGACCAAGATAATGACAATCTGCCTTTGTGAAGGTTAAAATGTGTTTGTGATTTTAACTAAGTACCACTATCCTATAATACAGTGAAATTTGTGAAATTTATGTAATCACTTAATCTCAATAGAAAATTATTTTAAAAAATTCTTTTTGAAAATTCTTTTGATATTTAAAATTTTGCTACTATTTTGGGCCATGCTTGATCATAACTGCCTATAATGCAGTAAGACAATGGGTTTACTATATACTACTGAGAGTGGTGGCACATGCCTGTTAATTCTGGAGATTAAGGGAGGCTAAGATAGAGAATCCATTAAGCCCAAGAGTTTGGAGTCAGTTTGAACAGGGCCCTTTAGCAAGGTGGGGAGAGGGAGGTAGTAGGAGAAGGGGTTGTTATAGCAACAGGTACCTAAATATGTTTACAACTGTACTTTGAGCCCAATAACTCACTTTACTGATCACTCTTTAAAAATAAGTTTTAAAAACACTCTTTTCAGCTAGGCACCAGTGGTTCATGCCTGTATTCCTAGCTACTCAGGAGGCTGAGATCTGAAGATCATAGTTCAAAGCCAGCCAGTGCAGGAAAGTCTGTGAGACGTGAGACTCTTTTTTTGGGGGGTGGGGGGGTGGGGGAGATACTGGTTGTGGGGCCTGAACTCTGGGAAGGTGGCTCAGTGGTAGAGTGCTTGCCTTGCATGCATGAGTCCCTGGGCTCGATTCCTCAGCACCACATAAGCAGAAAAAGCCAGAAGTGGTGCTATGGCTCAAGTGATAGAGTGCTAGGCTTCAGCTGAAGAGCTGAGGGGCAGTGCCCAGGCCCAGAGTTCAAGCCCCACAACTGACCAAAAACAAACAAACAAACAAACAAAACCCATTCTTTTCTTTCTTGCCATTCCCTCATATGCTCCAGGCAAGGCATTTCCCCCTTACCGCCCGCTTCCCCCTCCCCTCTTATCCCTCTTATCTCATGACCAAGGGAAAGAAAAGAACATCCAGATCCAGCACAAGGGATACTACAACTCCAGGTATTAAT